ATATAAGCAGAGCAACAGATACACCAGATTTTAATTTTAATTTTGATAGACCTGACGATGATAAGATTGTATATCGAAACATGTCGTCAATTTTAAAATGTAACAATTTTATGTGAAATTTTATATGATTTTAACAATAAGCTTGTGTAAACGACGGAAAATAAAAGTATTGTACTCCTGCCAGTCTTTTATTAATTTTTCTGGTTTTCGGTGTCTTAAGATTATGAACCTTCTTTTTCCATCGCAAGAAGGTAATTTCTTGGTCATGTGAATAGCTACTAACTGCTAGGAAAGAAAAGTACTGTAGAGTTTAATTACCTGATAAAACTGTTGTAATTACCACACCTTCGCAATAGAAGGGTTCTGGGTTTGATTCACGAGAGTGGGTGTCTGTCCTGAAGTCTTCCGTTATTTTCCTCAGTTCATTAATTACAGTGTAGTGACTGCACCTTAACTACAGTCGTTCCCGTTTTCCTTGTGTCTTTACCAGTCATACTGCCGTTCTTTACTGTCCTCTGTAGTTTAGCAGAAACTGACCGACGTTTCAGAAGTGCTTGACCGACAAGCATATCTGAAACGTTGCTCAGCGACACTACAGGACAACATCTCAGAAGACAATCATATTTGTTACCATGAGAATTGGAAATGTTATTTGTATAGGCTTGTCTGTAGATAGAGCCATGTTTTATTACGTGTGATTTCGTTTCATGTGCCGGAGAAATTGTGATCACTAAACTTCCATATAAAACCTTCGCACGTATAAACATTCAGTTCCTACCTCAAAGAAAACACAATGCGTCTCCATTATATAGATCAAATGGTTAATTCTGATTAAGGACAAATACCTGAACATTTTTAAATTCATAAGAAATCCAGAGAATATTAGAAAAATCCGCATTTATTCAGGTTTAAAGTAGGTAGTGTATTTAGTTACCACTGGTTTTTAAAGGGTTAAAAGTTTATTTATTCAATTCATATTTTTCTGGACAATTTGATATAATTTTTTTTATTTCCAAACCCGTTATAGACTTTTACTGAGTTAAAACTTTCTGTTTGTAAGCCGTTTTCTCGCGAAGATTTAGTTGGATCGATTTGTTTCGATACTAATAACAGGAAGCTGATAAGCGTAAAAGATAATGGGTTCATGAAGCATGAGAAGAAAGATTGAAGGAGTGTGAACTCTAAACTTTATTTAAAGATTTTAGATGGTAACGCAGGATTTTATTAATATTTTAGAACTAGAAAATTATCCACCGAGAATGATGGTAAAATCTAAAGTAGTATTTAAACATATTTTTATTCAAAAGTCTAACAAAGTAGGGCTTGTTTGTTAATGCATATGGTAGGCTATATATTGCATTATTTCATCAGTTTGTAACACAAAGTCAAAGCCCTTTGTTCTGTCAAAATTCACTTTTCGATAAACAGTTGAATTGTTTCGAAACATATGCATTCGATTTCAAAGCGCGATTAATAATATAAGTAGGTAAACGTCAGTACATAAATTTGTTAAAGAGATACGCTTATGTTTTGCATTGTATACAGTCAAATAGAGATTTTTTAAAAATTGTCACCAATCAAACATCAATCTTGTATTATGTAGATAAGGTGTTTCAGCGTTAATTTAATGTTCTTCAGTGGTGGTTGTTTATGTGAACCGTGTGGAAGTATAAAACGTGGACTGTCATGTTGAGAAAAAATTTTAAATGAAGATGCGAGTTAAAATTCCGAACCGAAGACCGGCGTTCTTTACTGAGGTTTTTATTTTGTGATTTTCCTCTCTTCCTTCAGATAAATGCCTATATCAGGGGTTCTCAGTCTTTTTATCTGGCGTACCATTAATTCTAATTTAACACATTAAATATACAGCGAATCAAATGCGTTCAGAGAAAACTTATTTATGTTAATATTATCTTTCGATATTCTTACTTAGTTCGCATACCGCCAGTGTTACGCGTACCATAGATTGAGAAACGCTGGTCTATATAGTGCCTTAAACTAAGCTACTAAAGCTTCCTTCCAGATCTTTCCAAATCATTGTTCATTAACCTTGCTAATGGAAGATGGCTGTCTTCTGGGTTGTAGCGCTCTGTAGTCTGGAAGCAGTAGGGGGTCTCTGAAACGTCGGTGAACTTCTACCAGGCTGCACGGCGCTACAACCCAGAAGTCAGTCATCTTCGGACTCATCGCAGTGTAAACCTCAAATCGTATTTAACCGTGTTATTCATTACTGTGTAGTCTGATCGCTGTTTAAGAAATCATAAATGAAATGCAGAGAAAATAAATTCAACCGGTATTTTCCAGTAGAGCTTTAACATTCGTCTGAGGTTGTTTTATTCCTGTTGTAGCTGGAAGATCAGTTGCACAACGTTCTGCCGAGAATACCCGTCCCTCTGCAAGAAGCAGCGGTAAGACTTCTCAGCCGGGATGCGAGGCAGAGACCCACGGCACAGCTTCTGTCCCTGATCAAGTACTTCAGGTAATGTAACATTTACATTCCAAAGCGAACGCGGCTCAGTACGTCTCTGTGTCAACCCCCACATGACTGGAATTGTAATTTTGTAGATGGATAGTGTCTTCTCCTGTAGCGATGTGTACGTGAACCATACCGATGGCAGAAAGTGAAATGCGTCGACACCGATGTCTGGTGATATTAAATCATTCGACGTCTTGAAATGTACTTCGACTTTTTCCCCACGAATTTGGCTCATTGACTTCTAATTCAGTGGCGTAGAGACTTTAATGAGGAGTTAATAGAAGCTCAGTTGATCAAAGGTTTCTCCCGTTTATGGAATCATAATGCTTCTTCTTCTTCTATGGCTCTCCAGTCCGTATTCGGTCCATGACCTCCTCAATTCTCCTCTTCCATTTGGTCCTCTGTTAGGTCCATCTGTCCGAGGCTTTGAATGAGGTTTTGAAACATCTTCCTTTTTACGGTGCAAGGTTGTTAGCCTTGCGACCAACCCCCCAACCTGGAGGACCAGGGTACCTATCTTAGTCTAACCTCTCCCTCTCGACCAATCTGGCTAGGGAGGCCCTACCAGTAGCTCTTGGGGTCACTGAGGTACTCAAGCCCCACCACCACGACAAGGTGCAGGTACCATTAAGTGGGGAATCATAATGCTTATTTCCGTGTTTACAAGAGTTCGCCACTGATCCCTGTCTTAATCCAGATGAACCCAGTTCACAACCTACATTTTATTTTATTATTACCCACCCATCTGATCTTATATCTTTTAACTGGTCCCTTCCCTTCACGTTCGTCATCTGTATCTCTGCATGCATTTTCCATTTCTTCCATGCGTTCTACATTTCCAGCCAATCTCATACTCCTTGATTTTATAATGGTAATAATAGATGGCAAATGGTAAAATTACGATGCTCATTTGACTTGCGTTCTTAGTAAATTGTTTATAAAGTAAACAAAAAAATATTAAATTGTATCAGTTATTTTAACATTGATTAAAACATTGACACATCGCGGCTCAATTACGAAGATTTGGTGGAATATTCTGTTCAGTGAAATAATTATTCTATATTCTGAGAATTGTAGGAAATCCATAATTACACTTTGTGGGGGAAATTGCAGTGATTAAGATGTCAGGTGGCGCATTTAAGTCACCTCTGTGCTTTAAAGAGTTGGTTCTGTATGCTACGGCCTCTTTATTTCACATAGAAAGAATGAGCTCAAGTTCCTTACCGAGGCTAATTCAATTGCTACTGACATTTGATGTGTGAAATGTCAGCCAGAATCGATAAAGCGATTTCCTGGTTATAGAGACGTGACTTTTATTTCCGCTTGCTACGTCAGTAACAACCGCTGTATCAGTAAGCTAATTCAAAACCATCATCTATTTTTCAAACTGTCAAATTGCATTTGATGAATAGAATGTCAAGCTACTTTATTTCCTGTCGTGTGGGAGATCATTTTCTTCTCCCTCAGGACGGAATATATTTCATTTATAAACCAGACTTACTTACAGAAACCAGGAAACCGCTGTCAGTGAAGTCTGGTCTAGTTACAGCCTTGTCTGCTGTAACGCATCTGATGGGCTCTGGCATATATGTTACTTCAGTTCAGTGGTGCATCCTGATTTCGAAGTCAGGACCTTGTGTAAAAAGCAGCTTTAAATCTCTCAGCAGCGTTAAATAGCTAATATTAATTTTGTTCAATTCTATTCAATTAAATTCAATTCTTTATTATTGGAGTGCTCCATCAACAACCAGACGGCCAATTACAGATACAGCACATGGAAAATAAAGTTAATACAATAAATATTATTATTATTATTTAAAAAAATAGTTAGCTGTTGTCTTACATATTTAAATATCTAACTGCTAATTCAATGGTCATAGTACGTCACGCTCGGCTGAATGAGTGAGCCTTTCGTGCGATCCGGAGAAATTAGAAATTACTTTCCAGTGGTGGAGAATAAACGAGGCTTTTATGGTGTCTATGGAGGGGTTTGGCGGAGTCTGCGTTTGGTAGGAATCTTAACTTCAGTCGCCGCGAAAGTTTCATTTTATACGTATTTTACTTTAACAAATTTTATAAAAGTCTTTTCAACGCGATGTGTTAAGATAAAGATAATGCTGCAATGAATTGATTTTATGATTAACACTGAACAACGTTAATTCCCGTCCATTTTGACGGGTTATATTACGCTGGTTTCTTTCATATTTCTCTTGGTTTTAGTGGTTTGGCAGCGCGCTGCTGGCAAGACCGGAGATTTGCCCACAACATAAGACTTCTCTTCTTAAAATGATCATATTCTGTGTTGTGGCACAGTTTCCTGTGGTAGAAATATACCGACGTTTCAGATGTGTTTGATTCTTTCATCTTCAGGGAAAGTATCTCTGAAACGTCGGCGAAATTCTAGCACACAACAAGGTGAAATAATTCAGAAGACGGCCACCTTCACTTTTATGACAATTGAATCTGATGCAAAACTTTAATGTAACTAAAAGAACAAACACTGCAAAGAGCTGTCATTTTAGAGCACGATAATGTTTATTGAGCTTTGGTAGAACGGAAATGAGCACGAGATTCGGAAATGTGAGGTCGCTGTGGAGTGAACATTTGTGTGACGCGGTATGTTGCCCAGTCACTTGCGGTCGATACGGGCCGTTCATGCCTGACACAAAGACTTCCGTTTTATTTTTAGTTCTTTTAAATTCATTTCCGTTCTCTTTTCTCATCTCGTATTTATTATCATAATCCGTAGTCATGGCGACTTGATGTGAATTATTTATACTTCAACCTCAGATGAAACAGAGTAAATCCAATGGTTTTATAGTTAATTGTGTTTTAATCTAGAATGAAAACGTTATTCCATGTTGTGTTTGAGTTCTCTTTGCGTCTATTTTAAAACGGCAAAGCTCTCTCTAGAAGATTCTCCAATATCAGTGAACTAAAGTTAGCGTATGGCAGGTGTTTGCTGCACAGGGGAAGATAGACGTTTTTTTAATAAACATTGCAGAATTGTGTAGTTTTTAGATTGGGATCAGATACAGGATGTTAGAATTACATAAAAGTATCACGTTTACAATGACTGTCTTATGCGTTTTTGTGTCATGTAATCTGGTAGGCATTTACGCGACGTTTCGGAGTGTTTGATGCCTCCACCATCATCAGGGCGATCGCTCAGTGAAACGTCGATAAACTTGTACCAGACTACACGGAGAAGAAATTCAAAATACAGCCAACTTTATAGCCGCCCTCTTGAGAACACTAACTCTCACTATGTATCACAGACTTCACAAATATTTTTTGAATGATTTTTACATTTTTGGTTACGTGTTTTCGTGAATGGTTACAACCATCAGGCCAATACCATGTATGACAATCGAACTTATTCTAATTTATTCTTCCGCTGTTCGTATCACGTACTTTCTACATTATATGTTTGGAACTTGTAGTAGGATTTGAGGTTTCAACGGCGGTGAGTTTGACGATGATTGACTTCTGGGTTGTAGCGCCGTGTAGTCTGGTAGAAGTTTACCGACGTTTCAGAGGTCTATGCTGCCTCGTCCCAGATGACGGAGGTAGAAGGCATTAATCATCCTCCATTTCGACGTTGTAGAGTCTGAGACAATGTTCGTTGGTAGAAGGCATTAATCATCCTCCATTTCTACGTTGTTGAGTCTGAGACAATGTTCGTTAAATTAACCACAAACATAATAAACGCTCACATCTTTAGTGGTTTGCCTACAGACATACTCGACAGGCTTACGCGAGTAGGTTGAAGTTTTGAGACAGACGCGTGGAGAAGATTGTATGACGTGTATACAATGTTATAAAACATTCCTTGTAGCAGCCATAACCATAGAATCCACCGTTCACGGTTCATAACTAACCAAGGGGATCGTATCATAAAGCCAGGACGAAGTACGTGAAACTGCGAAGCGCCGAGTCGAGTCTCAAGTATGTAATGTATCAGCTTCTAGGACGGAACAGGGAAAAGAATGCTCTTGTCCTTAATGAAAAAATGTTACACGCGGAGACTAGGACCGGCTGAATTATTGAAAAGGCCTCAAACTAAAATAATCTCTCTTGAATGCATTTTATATACGGGAAGCGTGCTTTCGTTTGCTATAAGCAGATAATATTTTGTACATGTATAAATCAAGGAACTTTGCCAATAACGACATCTATGTTTCTTATTTAATTTTCATAACCGTTGTAACTGTACATGCACCACCTAATTTAACATTCAATAACTCTCATTTTTTCATAAAGTTATTTAAGGGCATTAGAATATAAAGTCCATAAATCCACTTACGAGGTGCGATCGGAAAGTTTCAAGACTGCGCCTATAAAAACCCGTACACTTATCTCAGGTATTAAATTCATCCATCACCCTCGAAGTAGTTCTCCTGGGAGTGAACACAACGATCCCAGCGCCGCTGCCAAGCCTGGAAGCATCCCTGGAAATCTTTCTTTGTCAGCCTGTCAAGCACCATCTGCGATTCTGCCTGAATCTCTTCTATCGTCTCAAATCTCCTTCCCTTTAGCTGAATTGTCATCTTTGGGAAGAGGAAGAAGTCACACGGAGCTTAGAAAGGAAGCTGGGGTCGGTTCTTGCAAGATCTTTAAACTCCTGACAAACGAGAAGTCGATTCTGCTTCTAGTCCTCTGACAGGATGCGTCGCATGTGGAGTTCTTCCTTTAGAATCAGCTAACAGGTCCCATAGCCTATCCCAACAATGTCGCACAAATCGTTGATGGTACGACGTCGATCTTCGTAACAGTTTCGGGCGTTGTGCTCGAAGATGGTCGTCCAGAACGCTCGTCATCATCGACAGAGGTTCGGCCATTTTTAAAACGTGAATGCCACACAAAAGTTTGTGCACGACCCATTGCGGACTCCCCAAATGCTTGCTTTAGCATTTCATAGGTTTCCGTAGCCGTTTTGGCGAGTCTTTGGCAAAATTTGATGCACACGCCATTCCGAAAGCGCAGGAGGGTCGGTGCCCCTAGCGGCAGAAGCTCGTACTACATCCGGTTCGCCCTCTATTGACACAGTCTGTAAACTTTCCGATCGCACCTCGTATGCTAATGGTTGTATACCGTTATATACCAGAACCGTTTTGAATTATATTTCTAAAATGTACGGCTGTAGTTGCGTTGAAGATAAAATTGTAGGATTTTAGCTCAGTATCTTTCTTGATCGCCCTGATAATGGAGGCAGCAAGTACCTCTGAAACGTCGGTAAACTTATATCAGACTACACATCGAAATAACCCAAAAGACAGCCATCTTCAAACTCACCGCCGTGAAATCCTCAAATCCTACGTAAGCCTCTTAGTTCCCCAATGAATGTATATCATCTTATTCACATGTCTGCCGCGCGTCTCTGAAGACCTCCGTCTACTCTGAGGAGCACTTACGTAATATCGCTCGTCTCGTAGGTCCTATGCTCTGGTCTGTCATAACTGTCGCCTTAGGAACCCTTCCTGCGTCCATCGTAACACCATGCGTCTCACGGTCTTGAACAGTTGAAATATTCCCCAGAGACACAGAAGTTCCAGGATGAAACCATGGTCCCCTCGTCATCTGGCGTATGGGTATGCAGCCTGTGTTCCCGTGACCCGATGGAGAAACGAAACTTTCTCCACAAAAGTGTCTTGTAACAGCGCGGAAATTTAGTTACAAAGTCTCGAACCCAGTTCAGTTTCAAGATGAATTACCAACTGTGTTACACAGCACTTCTTAATTACTTTTACCGTGTTGGTCTGTAACGTCTTCTTATTGGTTTGGCTGGAGATATGTGGTTTCTGTGTGTGTTTTTTTAATCTTTTTTCTATCTTCTTTCGTCTACATCAATCCATCCATCCTCCTATTTGTCTTTATATCTGTCTCAGTGTGCCTGTTCGTAGATTCTTCTATATAACGAGCAAATTAGATAACACGTTAACACGAAATCAATTTTCCCGTCATTCATTGTCATAAAATGTTATTGATTACATGAGACCTCTATCATTCATTGACCAGTCAGCTTTGTATACAAACCCTTCTGTCACACACGCAAGTCATCTAGAATGTACAACGTTACTCAGTAAAGTCTACAGCGATATTTGAATGGCAATAATGATGGAAGTTTGCAATCGCCTCTGAAACGTCGGTGAAATTCTACCAGACTACACGGTGCAACAACCCATAAGACAGCCATCTTCATACTCGCTTTGACATTTTAACATTTTTCTTATTCCGTATGCCGACAGACGCCGTTGGTTATCTACCAGCATGAGATTACTTGTGTACTTACTCCTTAGGTTTGATTTTTAAGAACATTTGTCACGAATTTAGTATCGTATGTATTTATTATTATAGTTAATGTGTTCATTATATATTATTTTGAAAGTTCGTCCATTTTGTTTTATTTCATGGTCTAAATTTGTTTCGCTACATTTTATTTATTTAACGTGTATTTCAATAAACGACGCTGTAAGTATCTGACAATACAACGTAAAATGAGAGAAGCTAATTGAGAATTACGTATAAAGAGACGGCCGTGGCCTACTTTAAGATCCTGACCCTGAATTTGCCTTGAAGGAACTGAGAAATATCACAGAAACCTCATCTGGTATCCAGTCCAAGATTTTGTTACGGAATTCCCTAAAATACAAAGCAGAATTGCCAACCATTCGGGAGTTTTCGGTTTTAATTTTGTAGTTTATGTTTTTCGTACTGCCCGGTACCCATTGGATAGGAGACTGGGTGAGCTCCAGAGGCAGTCTGCACTCAGAAGCTACAAAACAAATCCTCGTACTCCGCCGGGTATAGAACCCCTGTAGCCCAGTACGTAGTTAGGCAGTAAACAGACTGAACTGCCCCAGGCTCCAAAACAGAATGGAAATTAACCCATAATTACTGTTGCGTTTTATACATATTGGACTGTGTCACCTCGAAGCTTATTTATTTGTTTGTTTCAGTGACCCGGTGGTCCACGCTCTTCAATTCTTGGACGTCATTAACATGAAGGACCCAACGCAGAAATCTCACTTCTACCGTAACACGCTGAAGGAAGTGCTTCATTACATCCCCAGGGTAAGTGCCTACTGCAGCAGCCAGTCTTTGTAACGATATTCGAAAATATATTTATTCCCTTCATTGCCATACGTTCATCTTTCAGCAAGTAACATCTCCTAGAACCGCTGAGAAAACCTCAAATCTTACAATGAATGGATCTGTTAATTCATTGCCCCATGCGGCGTAGTTCTTAGTTAAGTACAACGGAGAGATTTGCCTTCCTGCAGGCGGTATCCTCGGATGTAGCGACCGTGTGGTCCGGTAGAACTTTACTGACGTTTCAAAGTTACTTACTATCTCCAGTATATGAGCAGTAAACACGTCTGAAACGTCAGTCGATATCTGTCAGACTACTCGATACAGCAGCCCTTAAGACAGTCATCTTCTTACTCTACGTCTTGAAAACCTGAAATATCATTTCTAATTTTTACGTAATTATTCTACCTACTATGTAACGAATATCAAATAAACTTTCATAAATTTGCTAAAGACTGTATTCATAAATCATCATGACGTTTCATTAACGTAGCACCAATTTCGTAATTTGCATACGTTATTTGGAAAGATGACCTTTCATTCTGGTATGTTCTTCCTTCGTGCGTTAACATTCGTGAGATGCCTGCGCACGG